CATAGACCATCACACGACATGTATACATGATAGCTGTATCAGAAAGAAAAGCATCATTGAGGGTGATGTGTGTACATATGCGAGAGATAGCCCCCATGCACCAATTGTGATATGCACAGGTCTGTGTGACAAATGACTTATCCCTAGGGGGAAACCTGTAATCCATAGACTAGAATTGTGCCCCTCACCTATTAGTTGACTGTGGTTGCCATTTTATGAACTCCTTGTCGACCGTGCGTGTTGAGCCCTCCATGTATCCACTGAATCAAATCAATCTGTAATTTCTGTATATATGAGAGAAGGAAAAGCACAACGTTCTCTCCTCCAACTCGAGATGTTAGAAGGTGCTAAATTAATAGGTGTGATGGACTGTGGGTTATGGGAACTACTTGATTAGTTTGAGACAGTGGATGTGGTTCATGGTCTCTAGGGGAAGATGGAGTGCTTCCGTATTTTCGCATTTTTCTTGATATAGTTGGATCCAAATCCCATCCAATTAATTTAGAATTAATTAATTTGACTATAAATTATTTTTAGATTAATAAAATGAATTTTTAGAAGTCTCTAGATATTTTCTTAAAACAAACTTATAAATAGGCTTACTGAATTCTGAATATGTAATTATTCAGAGAAAAAATAAAATAGTAAATGATTTCTAAAAATCATTTTCATAATTTTGAAATTAATAAAACACATGGGGGTCCATTATAATCCATGGGCCGTACTAAAATGTCTTGTGAGGAAGGTGCGTAGGCCCACTTAGGTGCCATAGGGACGCTCCAATGCATAAACCTTCTTATTTTGATGAGGCATGAAATATGCCATCTAAGTAATTGAAATTAAAGAGGCATGCTTTTGATAAAAAAAAGTTATTTGACTTTTCAAAGAGGCATGTGTAGAGAATGAATGGAAATAAAAGAAAAGAAAAATATATTTTCCATGTATTGAATATTTGATGGGATTAGATTAGGAAAGTTGAAGGATAAGGTTTTAGCACCTTCTAATAGATCTTGATGGTTGATCTATAGATCGTAAGGCTAAGATCTCTCACCCCACAAGTCTCCTATGATCAATGGCCAAGATTGAATCTCCATAAGGATGGCTAAACCCTAGACACCCTAACCCCAATCATGAGTCGATATAATGTCTCATTTGGGTGTCCCCATCTCTAAACCAAAAAGGACACATCTCTCTGTCTTCAAAGAAGCCTCACACCACTCTCTCGCTCTGATCTCTCTCATCTCTCTAGCCTCCCCGAAAGACTTAGAAAATATTCTTGAAAGAAAGAAAAGCAGGCCACACCCCAAGGATGGAGCCTGAAAGGGGCACACCCCATACACAATCTTGTAGGCTCAAGATTGTTCCACCTTGCTCATCTCTGAAGGGTTTCTAGCCAAGGCTTCCCATATTTGTGTTTCCTGTTCCCAAGTGAATCTTATGTAATTTCTATTATTGAAATAAAAGGGCTGTATTAAGTGGCAGCAAGTGAGAATTCATTTTGTAATTCATCTTTGTTTATTTTGAATTTATTTTGTAGTATTTGGACCTTTGTAAGTGTTCTAGCCGATTAAGAAAATAAAATTTTGAAATTGCAAACACTGTGCTAGTTCACCCTGTCCAAATTTCAAGAGGCAGGTAGCATGGAGGGAGAGAGGAAGAGGGCCTAGAGGTAGGGATGAAGGAGGAAAGAGTAGAGAGAGGAAACTATGGGGGTAGAGACGAAGAGGGGCAGGGGTAGGGTTGGAGGACGGAAGAGTAGAGAGATAAAGAGGTGTGTGTGTGTGTGTGTGTGTGTGTGAGAGAGAGAGAGAGAGAGAGAGAGGATGCAGGACCTTTTGTTTTGGCCTAATCTATTGCTGGCCATCTGGCGTATAGGGGGCTAGTACGTGAGCCAGCTGAACTCATCTATTCCAATATATGTATTCTCACTATTATCTTCAAAGGATGAGATCTGTTGAGGTTTCTCCTTCACGTACATTAGCAGTAACCTGGTCCGTACAACTGCCAATGTAAGCAATACAATAAGAGTCAAACAATTGACATTCAATTTGTGCAGATTGGGATTTTACTTTGATACCAAGTTGAAATGATGATCTAGTTCTATATTTGAAACTGTTTGTATGAGATCAGTATGTGTAAGAGAGAAAGAAGAGAAGACGAGAGGAGATAAGGAGGAAGAAAGACAAGAGGGAGAAGGAGAAAGAGAGGTGGCGTGAGATAATTTTAGGCTTAATCCGGGCTTAGTCTCTTAAGTTAGACTAGTCACGCTTGTATATTATGGCGCAGAAATAATTACAAAAATATACCAATGTTTAAACAAAGAACCCACATTATATACTTAATGCATCCCATTTATGCCTCTAACTTTCCATTGCACTTTCAACGACATCAATTTATCTGGTGTTGTTTTCCATGGTTTCATGACATAGTTGTCAAGTTGATAACCATTACAACTACAGAAGTTTTGGGATTATTTGTTGATAACAAGTCAATCTATATCATCTTAGCTGCAGTTCACCTGACCCCCTTATGACAGGAGTATATTGAGATTGTTGTTTATTCATTGGTTACCCGCATCCTTTAGGGGCCGTTTGGATACCTGGAAATATATTGTCTGTGAAATATATTACTGGCGTAATACATTACCTGCAAATTGATTGTTACTGTTTGGGTAGTATTTAAATGCAACCTGGGAAATAAATTGCTATTGTTTGGCTATGTATGGAAGAAATATGGGAAATGCATTACCAATATTTGCCTATAAATTATCATTTTCTTTCTTTTTATGTCACAAAATTTCACTGAAATGTGGAATTAAAAGTCATCATCACACCATTCCAAAATATTTTCTAATAATAACATCATCACCATTCCAAAAAGATTTTCTAATAAATAACTTGTACCATAAACAATAAAAGATTTTTTAATGTCTCTCTATACAATTTCAAATAAATAATAAATTCATGATACCAAGTTTAAAATCTCTATAGTACAAGTTAAAAAATGGGAAGAAGTTTGATTAGTAAACTAGAAAGTTTGGTAATTACAATAGAAAATTTTGAGGCATTGGAAGAGACTAAAGAGGTATCTTATTTCAATTGAGCTTTTACTAATCTCTTATGAGGATTATGTTGTGTGAAATTTTTATTATGATTGTGTAGGGCTTATCAGGACTCTCCTACTTCTCTTTCTTCAAGTTAGAAAGGAAAAAGTAGAGATGAGAGAAAGGGGGCTTAAAGAGAGAGGGAGCACCTTATGCAAACCAGTTGTTAGGGATCAAGAGAGAGAGGGGCAGGCTTAGAGAGGGAGGGAGCACCTATGCAAACCAAAGGTTTCCTAAAGATATTTTTTTAAGCGGGGAATAGGGAAGAAAGAGAGACGCGTGAAAGATTTCCCAAAGATTACCCGTCAAGGCGCGCAATAGATTTTTCACCCCTCACCGCGTGTAATGGGTTTTGTGATTTTTGGAGAAATCTCGGGTAATCTCTTTCCATTTCCTTATTATTAAAGTGTACCCAAATAGTGGAAATGTCATATTTCCTTGTAATCTATTGTAATGTAGTAGAGTTCCAGGTACCCAAACGGTTCCTTAGTGATCTTTCAGAGATTGGGGGATAGGAGGTTAATAATATAGTGCATGTTTTGTGTAGAAATGTGTTGCGGTTTATGTTGTGTTTTGGGGTGTATTTTTATTTTGCTCGATAGCCTCATATGTTATTTTTGTCTCATGACTTTGGGGGACAATTCATTATTCACACCTTTGGTTATGGAAATTTGGTGTTTTCCTTTATCTTTTGAAGTGGTTTGCAAGTGAGAAATAACTGGTCTTATAGGCCAAACGTCGACAGGATGGATTTCTGTGGCATGTTTTTGGTCAGAATTGTTTTTTAGTTCTCATGATGGAGGATGTTAGGATAGAGGCATCAATGGCTCTTTTTCGACATTACCAAAGGCTGTTAAGGCATTGATGGCATCTTTGAGATCATATCTCTATATTGTTAATACACTATCATTGTAGTTCCTTTTTTTGTTTCATGTGTGCCACCAGTATGTGAGGTGCCATAACATTACCTCTATGAATTCATGGGGATACTGACATTCCTTATAATATATTAATATGTTGGATGAGATCTGAATAACATTCCCTGTCACAATACGACCTATTTTTACTACCGCATCATGTGGTAAACAGATGTCAACACTTACAAACATGGGGGACATCTAATTAGAGCACAAGCATGGGGCTAGAATCATAGTTGTTGAATAAGGAGCTTGGGATTGTGAAAGGCTAGAAGATCCTTGTGGTTGGGCCCACCATCTGTACAATGCATATGTTAAGGATTGATATTGCCAAGTTTGAGGAATTTCTATCTAAACCTTTTGGGGATCTTTATCCTAACCTTTCGAGATCTCGATCCTAGCCTTTTTGGAATCTTCCTTCCGACGTTGAAGATTATATGCAGCCAAAGGTTATATATATTCTTTAAAGTTGGAATCTCAATATTTATAGCCTGCAAGCAATGCTATTATATTCAAAGTATAATTACATTGCTATAAATGAAGAAAATCATCAGTTTGGCCATTTTCTTAGTCTGGGGATCGAGATCCAAAAGTTTGACAAATGGAGATCCCTTGAAATACTATTTCTCAGAGTGCCGGAGTGAGCACCTAGTTTAGGAGACGCAGAGATCCCAGCAACTATGATTTTAACCTAAGGCGCCTTCTGCCAAGTTCATGTGGTCTAATGCTGTGCCAACCTAATTGAAGTGTAATAAGTATGACCTATTTATTGTGTAGTGTAAATATACTATTGTAAAATGGTAATCGATACAAACATGTCTAGCCGTATTGGCTTTTTAGGCCAAGTACTAGATATTTGCGATGCTATGAGACAAATACTCCATTCAGTGTCAAGATAACATAGATAGGCATATAAAGCTGTTTCCATTCATGACAGTTGCTGTTTCTATTACATCTATTCCACTTTGTTGTTTGTGCAGTTTCTTTGCACCTATGAACAAGTATGGACCTCTACGTGATGGAATATCAGCTTGCACTTCTATGAAAGAGATGGTGAAAGCATTGCATGCAAATGGATTAGAGGTATTTTACATATTTTTCCTTTTTTGAAAGTTTCAGATGTCTACTTTGAGTTGGATTTTGTATTGAGCTTTTACTTCACTAAGGGATTTTTTCTTCTGATTAGTGATTAATAATCGATTTAAACTTGGAAAAACTTGCCAAGTTAAGTTGACTAATCCACTTACCTAGTTTTATACCCAAGAATGATTTGTCCCAGTTTTAAACTAGATATTATTTGTGTGTTACTCTATCATATAAATGGTATTTGGTGGGGTGGTAGGAGTGTGGTTTTTCTTCACTCACATTCCAGGTTCAATCCCCCCCCCACCCCCCCCACCCACCACACACACGCACACACACAAAAGTCCTTGTACTTCTTTTCAGGCTTTTCAAGCAATTTGAAAAGCTCAGCTGATTTATTCTGTGTTTACCATTCAACTTGGCGAGTCAACACGCTTTTGGCAGATCCGGGAGTCAGTCACCAAGTTCAAGTTGTAGAATATTGGTATGATCATTGTAGTAAGGTTGAAATAATATCCTTAGTCTTCTAGTTTTTGTGTGGCAATGTATGTTTGAGATTCTTTCTACCATGGATTATTTCTTGATTGCTTTCTCAAAATACCTTGTTCTTGTTCTTGTATAAATAGGGGCACTTCATTCATGTCCCCTTTTTCATGTGTCTGAATACTTCTGATCCTTTTTGTCCATGCTTTAGAGTATTTATGAGTATATTATCTAAACTCGCCATGAATTGTATTTTTTAGTTTCATGCAATTTAGTCCTTATTACTCCTTGTCGATCATTTGGATATCAAACTACAGTTGTCTCTGTTTACCAAAGGTTGTTTTTGTTATTAATTGTATGGACAGTGGACATAGTTGTCATGAATGATTCTCCTACCTAACTATTCATGTTTATAAATAAACATAAATGCTCAGGTATCCATGTGAGAATTCTCAAAGTTACTGGAAGATTTATCAGTGGAGGGGTTGTCAAAGAATTTTGAAAAGGATAATTAAGAACTTAGAACAAAAAAGTTGAAGATTGAGAAACTTGGGAGCAGAACCATATAAATTTGCTTATGTACTTTTGTGAAAACTCAAGTTGTTATCTAAAATAAATATTTATAATTGTTTTCTTGTATTATAAATGTTTTAGATGGATAGCTTACAAATATTTTACGAAACTCAAACACAAATCTTAGAAAGTGGTTTTTCGGTTAAGCAATTTTAAAATTTGACTGTATACTATGATACTGGTAGCATCCTGTTCTGTATGGTCTGGGAAGCAACTGTCTGCTGCCAGCAGTAGGTTGTTGGTCCCAACCAAGCCCCCACTCAAATGGACTTGATGGACTTGACCTTACCAACGGCTCACATCAGTGTCTATTGTGTTTTATAGTGGATGGCTGATGTCATGAATGCCATATGAAGAGTATGCTACTGTTTGGCATTATCATAAACTTATTTGCATTTTATAAAATTTTAACTTTTTGGAAACTTACCTAGTTGGTTTTCATAGTTATGAAAAAATAGCGGCTCTTTCCTTGATGCTATAAAAACTAAACCTTTCTGAAAACTAAAGTTTCCTGTGATGTCTCCCTCTGCCACTTCCTGACTTGCATTTAGGCTCGGTGTATTTTTCGTCTTCAACATGCTACATTTTCATGTGTATCTAGCCTTTGTAACTGGGTGTCTGGTTGTAACTGTAATTCAAAGGTGCCAATGATTAGTATATTGCCATGCATACCCATTGTCCAACAAATACTCTTAAGTCCTCTCTTGAATTGGGACTGTTGACCACTTTAACAGGTTTTATTGGAAATGGTGTTTACTCATACAGCAGAAGGTGGTGATTCTTTGTGCCAAACAATTTCGTTTCGCGGGATTGACAACTCCTCTTACTATATAGTTGATAGGTGAATAGGCTTTGATTAAGTATTTTGGGAAGTTTATGCTCATTCGTTTTCATTCACCATATATGTGTGTGTGTGTGTTGCGTGTGCGTGCATGCATGTATGTGTGTGTGTGCGCATGCGTGCGTGCGTGCATATATATATGTGTGTGCATGCTTGCATGTATGTGCATATATGTGTGTGCGTGCATATATGCGTGTGTGCATGCATACATATATATGTGTGTGTGCGTGCGTGCGTGCGTGCATATGTGTGTGTGTGTGTGTGCGTATGTGCATGCGTGCGTGTGTGTGTTCTGATCTCTTCAAAGTGTGTATGCAAATTCTTAAGAGGTCTAATTTCTTTTGGATAGGAACGTGGAATCCGAAGGTGGCAATGTATTGAACTGCAACCATCCTATGGTCCAAACTATGGTATTTCCTGAAAGATCTAAATAATCATATTTATTTTCTGATGTATCATGTGACTGTTTCTTACCTGCATAGACCTTGTTCAATACCTTCTATTGTAGTATAAATGCAGAAATGTATTATAATGTTTGTAGTATAAATGCAGAAATGTACAGTGTTCATGATGTGCTCTATTACCATTGGAAAATGGAATTCCTCACAAAACTTGGACTTCCTGTTGTATCTTTTGGAAGTTATTTTTGATGACGTATGAATTCATCTAGTTTCCTTGAGCATCCCTTCAATAGCATTTGATGATAGTTTTCTAAGAACTTGAGAGTTTAGAAACATAGTGAGTTGAAATGGATTTGATTGATTGATTTGACTGGCGTCTGGTTCGTGTGGAGACTCATGGAGACTCCACTTTTGTTGGGTATTAGGGCCTTCAAAGGCCTTGGGTCCTATTTTTCCCCATATTGAGCACTAATGGTGTTTTCTGAGATAAAGGACACTCCTTGTCAAGTGGGAATGTTGGTCTCTGTAAGTGGGCTCCGTTTAGCGGCTATATGTGATTTAGAGCGATGTGGCGTGAGTGCCATCTATGAGAAGGCTCAATGAGACTTAGAGTGGGCTCTATCACTTCGCCTTGGTTTGCAGTCTAGGCCTTGGCTTGATTGAGTGGCAGAGCCTAGAATCTGAGTTTGACTTTTGATTAATGCTAGAGGCCTTAACCATGGAAGGTTTCAAGGTACCCTTCTTGAGGTCGGTATGAAGAGCCCAGTGGTAGGATTGGTAGCACAGGGGCAAGGATACTCTTGTATGAGTTGGCAGAGCCTGGAGGACCTGAGATGGGTCTCTATGTAAGGGTTGAAGGCTCAACTGCAAAATCCTTGATGGTACCACCTCTGTGGCATGCATGCATGATAGCCGCATTGACCAGGTATTTTGGTCAGGGACTAGCGATAACTCTGCAAGTGCATGTGCTAAGAACCCTTAAATTGGGATGGTACATGTGTTTGGGATGGACATGGTGTTTTAGATGGACATGACTTGTATTTGGGGGAACACCTCTAATCCACAACAACCTCTGTAGGTCATCTATACCTTCGCTTGTTTTGATAAGCTAATCGTGGCCCCTTGCGAAGAGATGTGGGTCTTGGGTTTGTTGGGTCAGTTTTAGGATGGAGAGTGATTGCAAGTTTAGCTTGGGTGGAGTGCCCCACTTAGAAGTTTGTGCTTTATCCCATGTCATGCCTATTCTTTAGAGATCTTCCCAATGTTTTAAAGACCGTTTTTGAAAAGTAGTTATGTGGAATCCAAGGGAGTAAAATAAAAAAAATTTCTCTTTTTTTTTTATCAGTGCATCTGAATTCCACGTACTAGTGCCACAAAATACTGCTGTAAATAAGAAATAAAACCCTAAAGTATAAATACAACCTAAGATCTTTCCTTTTAATCCAGGAACTAAATACAAGCTCAAACTGAGAATTTCAATACAAATAACATACCTGGATATTACAATAAAACTGAAAAATAATGCCTGAAAACTCAAAGAGCTGGGAAGACTTACTTGACTTTGCCTAGGGTCACCCCCTTGGGACTTCGTACACCACAATCAGGTAGATGGCACACTCTGATCCTATTGGCCTTATGAATTTTCTGAGTTGGGAAGCTTCCTTAGGCAATACCTTGCAAATGTAGGGTTTTGAGAGCATAAACTACAATTAAGGTTTCTACATACCCTTTTGGAAAACTAGCTAATAAATAACCTCGACAAGAGATGACCCGCCTTGAAACCCTCAATAGTAGTACCTTTGCACAATGGAAAGGATTTTGGACATGACCAAGGCCGTAGACTGCCCTAGGTCAGTTAACCAACAAACACACTATCCACTATAAATTTTTCATTTACATGCTTCCATGGGCTTTAAAGGCCAGAAAAACCAACAATTCATACTCGAGGGAAGCACGACTTACTTATAAAAGATTAGGATTCTTTCTTTCAGCTACATCATTTTGTTGTGTTGTATAAGTGTAAGAACTTTGTTGTGTTATTCCATGCTCATCCAAATAGGATTGTGGCTCTCTATTAGAATACTCCCTACCTTGATCGATCGAAGTACCATAATTTTAGTATCAAATTTGAGTGAGAAAGAAACAAGATACCATTAGTCAAAACATGATGCAATAGGAGGACCCCAAACATTAGAATGAACAATAGCAAAAAGAACCTTGCTTTTATTACTTGGTCAATAAGCGTTTCGACAATGTTTTGATAGTTTACAGACCTCACATTGAAACTCAAGCACACTAGTAGAGATAAACAACCTAGAAACAAAATTTTTAAGGATTGAAAAGACAAATGACCTAGTCACAAAAGCCATTGCCAAGTCCGATCTTTATTAAATCTGGAACTGGACTGTAGGGCTTGAGAGGTAGTTTTTACCAAGTCAAGATTGTAGAGGCCACTAGCTTCATGACCACTGCCGATCATCTTCCTCACATCCAGATTGTGAAAAATACAATGGTAAGGAAGGAATTTTACACAACGATTCACACTTTTGGTAATGCTATTGGTAGACATTAAGTTTTTAGCAAAGCTGGGAACAGTGAAGAACTGATGACAATGACATTTGAGGAGAAATATCTGTAGTTCCTTTTCCTATAATAGAGGAAAAAAATCAACAATCCTAACTTTATCGCTATCAGAACAAAGAGAATAGGAAGAAAACAAGGATGATATACTGGTCATGGATCTGATACTTTCGAATCAATAATCCAGGATTGTTTTGATGGAACAAGGGAAACATGATTTGCAGAAGCATGAGTACCTTAATATGCAAGGATGAAGAAGAGGTTGTGGATGGGCCATCTAACTGTACGAATAATCTTTGTAGACTTTCAATATCTTCGTTAGGGACTGGTATCTTCTCTTTTGAAATAGAAATTGAATATTGGATTGTTTTCTGTATTGGCTTATCTGTACGAGCAGCAGCTGAGCTCCTTGTGGATGATGCCTTGTGAGCATTAAACTGACTTGAACCATTAAAGTTAGTTGGCCTACCAACCACATCTTAGCAAGTTTCTTTAATATGATCATTTTTACCATTACGGTCACACTTAACTTATATCTCCTTGATTATGCCCCCTTTTGTCAAATTTTTGAGTTCCACCTTACCTTATTGTTTTTAGGAGGTCATGAGGCTGAAACGAAGGGCAGATTCATCAGGTACTTGACCAGGCTGTGTGACACTTTTTCACTTTCCTCACTATGGACAAAGGAATATACGCCTAGCTAAGTGATGGAAGAGTATCCCTATTAAGCATTTGGGCCCTAGCTAATTTATCTCTAAATTCAATCCAGCCAAGTACTCAAAAATTCGGGTTTGTTCCACAAACTCTGGTATTTCTCTCAATCTGCCCTACAGGCTGGTTTAAACTTCTAATAGTGGTCTAACTCCTTCAACATACTACGTGGTAAGGAAAATTATACTACAAGAGACCTCTCCCCATGTCGAGGATGGGAAATTTCCTGCCACAATTGGTACATTTGAGCTAAACAAGGAGCTTCTATGGAGTTGTCCTAAGTTGTGTCTCTTTATGGCCTTATTTTCCCAGTTTCTGTGACATTTTGGCGTATCTTTTGAACTTTCTACTGATGCTTGTAATCCCGCTTGTATAGCCTTTTGGTTTTCCACTCTTCTCGGTGGCTTTTGAGCCCTATGCGAGCAGTTTTTGTACCACTTTTATTCTTACACTTAATACAAGGTTATCGGTTTCAAAAGAAATTGGTACGCTTGAGAAACATTCTTGCTTTGATAGTAAATTTGGTATACAGAGTCGCAAATCTCTTTTGCAGTTTTAAGGAACAAAAAACCCTAGTAATTGATGGTTGCATGAGTGAGATAACCAAGTCATCACTGTCAGATTTTTAGTTTCCCACTTCTCATATGAGGGATCTATTTCTGCAGGTTTAGTAATCTTATCATTTATTACTCCAACTTCCCTCTTCTACGAAAAAACATTTTTGCAGACTGTGATCACTTCAATAATTCTAGTTTGGGAGCAGTAATTTGCAGTCCGGGGTTATCTCCATGGATATGCCTATGGGAGGCTACACCTAGAGTGGTAGTAGAGCTGGAAGAGTGTCCATTACCACTCATACTTGACATATTGACCAAAATACAGCAAAAAAACCGACCAAGGAAAGCAGAAATCAACATAGACAGCCACTCAAAAACTCCTTAAACATGTCATGAGAACATCCATATAAGAGATCTCAAAGAAAATTGAGTTTTACAACTTACAAGCAAGGGTTCAATCCTTTTAAGTGGTCCAACACTAAACTTTACACCATCGAATGAAAACACCAAGATCTAGGTGTTCTGAACTCACATAAAAAAACTCAATGAAATAACTGCAAAAACTAGGGTTCCCACCTCTCGTTATTCCATACTATTTCCAGATCTAGAGTTTCTGACGATGCAGCTTTTGGAGACCTTCGCACAGCTAGATCACAACTTTAAAAGAAACCTCACTTTGATACCAGGTTAAGAATACAACAACAACGGAGTAATAAATGGGAGAAAATAAAAAGAGAGATCAAGGGAAGGAGGTAGAGAGAGGAGAGATACTTTGAGAGAAGGTGTCACGACCCCGCTCCTTGTCCTCCCTATCTAACCCATAGAGGGCTAGGCCCGGGCCCGCCAGAGGAGAGTAGGGCGTGGGGCCACGACCAAAGGTTGCCAGTGCCACTTTGGTTGGAGTGCACTCAACACCTTGAAAAAGAAGAAATTTCCGATATCAAGCCAGCCACAAAAGAAACGAAAAACAAAACACAATATACATAACCAAAGTCTGCTGGACAAACAAGTCCCAAAATACATATAACAGTCCAAAATAGTACATATAGGTCCAAGGCACTAAAGGCCCAATATCAAGGCATAATACCAAATCAAAATGAACTGTATGGCCAGACAACCAACCAAAATATACACTGCAAAATGGAGCTTCAACAGAAGGGGGGTACGGGATCCCAAACACGACCACCAGGACACGCCACTCTAGTCACAATTGGCTATCACTCTACATGGAAGAAAAATTAACATAGCGAGTTGTAAAGCCCAATAAATGAGATCTAGGTGCCATGCTTTCATGCTTACAAATATTTTGTCAAGACAATAGTTAGAGTTTTATGTAAGTCTTACAAAACATGGAATCATGTGTCCAATTCACATTTAAACAAACGTATCGTGCATGATTTATTTCATGGTGGAGTAATAACTAATCAGATGAACCAGATATGATTGTAATAAGAAGTCGATCACATCATTCAGGCATGAGCATCATAACAGATCAAAACATTTAGGCATGCATATAACAAGCATAATCAAGATCAAGAGATACCAAACTAACTCGTGAAGTAGAAGCCCTACCCATCGAGCCAATCAAATTTTGATGTGTAGAGCCTCTCCCATCACAACCAAGAGACAAGCACCACCAACGGGTCAATCCATTGCGTAGTGCCTCACAAACGCACACAACCCCAGCGCGCTTTGGGGCTTTTGATAAGCACTGGCCTTGCAAGACACGACCCTCTCATGTGCCCTTCTAGCGAGAGAGCGTTACACTACCAACGGGTCCTAATGAGTAGTGCCTCACATAAGTTTTGGGGGAGTGACCACCCAAACACACACACTGCTAACTTTCATCCTATCATAGTGTAGTAAAAAATCACAGCTGCCGGCACAAATATCTCATCAGATCATAATAAAAACATGTCTCTATGCGCACATATCTTATCAGAAGCATGTTACCATGCATAGATCATATAACATAAGCATATCTCCATTCACACATATCTTATCAGAAGCATGTTACCATGCATAAATCATATAACAGAAGCATGTCTCCATGCACACATGTCATATTAGAAGTATGCTATACATATAATCACAAGAGACATCAACATGTCCAGAGCATGCCATACATGTAATCACAAGATACATCAACATGTCCAGAGCATGCTATACATATAATCACAAGAAACATCACTATGTCTAGAGCATGTTATACATATAATTACAAGAAACATCATTATGTCATATTATCATGCTTATCAATTCAAGAGACATTATCATGTCAATATCATGCTATATATCAATGTAATAGACATCACTATGTCATATTATCATGCTTATCAATTCAAGAGTCATTATCATGTCAATATCATGCTATATACCAATGCAATAGACATCACTATGTCATATTATCTTGCTTATCAATTTAAGAGACATAATCATGTCAATAGCAGGCTACATATCAATGTAATAGACATCACTATGTCGTATTATCATGCTTATTAATTCAAGAGACATTATCATGGCAATAACATGTTACCTGTCAATGTAATAGACAACACTATGTCAATTTCTGGTTTTCTAAGATGAACATTGTCTACCTTTAAGGGCATATTATTAAATTTAAAAATCATTTAAACCTGCAACCAATTTCTTGACAATCTAGACTCATATCCAGACAACTCTCATATGGGAAGTATCCCCAAATATTGGTCCAAAGTTTGTCAAACTATTTGATTTTTCCCAAATTAAATTTTTGTTTTGCGCAGCAGAAAATAAACTATGACACCCTGCTAGAAAAATGACCATAACTTTCAAGCCATAAAGAATTTTATTATGAGTCCAAAACCAATTTTAAACTAGACTCATTTATCTAAAATTTTAAAGTGGTTTCACCTCATTCTAGTAAATTTCGGTCAGTAAAAAGCTTCACACAAAAACGTGTTGAATCCATGGATCTTCATTTCACAGATCTGGTATGCTTCATCAAATAGTTAATAGCTTTCAAATTACATGAGATAGTAACAAGGGGTCTTTTCCATGCGGAAATAAATTCAAAATCCTACTGACCCACCAAAATTCATGGTCTAAGGCAAGGTTTAAGGTACTCTAACAATCTCTCAAACAAGGACCACTAGTTTGAAGAGGGTTTTTGTTGTTGCCTAGCAAAACTTGAGGAATTTTGCTGTTGTGAAATGTTTTACACACTTCATGTAAAAGCACGAGTCGAAGGGGGCTTTTTGCTGATGCAATGCCCTCTAGAGTGCTTTGATGTGTATGTTCTTTCTATCCTGCCTATCAAATCGCTGCTTGCCATAGTAGAGTGCTTCTATGTGTAGCATATCAATCAAAATACTCATTGAGACTTACCCAAACTCAGCTGATTCTGTTTAGAATCTCAAATTTATAATACTAAAATGCTATTGTATTCTATAATGTTATATGTTTCTTCATAGCCATTCTTGGTCTCCTTGGTGATTTGTTCTTTTGTCAATAATTATATTTGATAGAAATTATAGTTTCTGTAGAAATCATGTTATCATAAATGGATATTGTTTATGTGATCCTTGGACTTACATTTGGACATCATCTAAGCATGATTCTTGATTTACCAGATTTTGGATTGTCTTAGGCATTGGGTGCACGAGTATCATGTTGATGGATTTTGTTTCATTAATTCTTCATCTCTTGCTAAAGGGTCCGATGGAGAGCTCTTAACCCTTTCTCCCCTAATTGAAGCTATAGCATTTGATCCAATTCTCTCTCATGCCAAGATCATTGCTGATTGTTGGTCCCCACTTGACATGCAATGCAAGGTTTTGTTTTTCCTATATGTTTCGAAAATTTATATGATATGGTATATGTCACACTTGATATATTACTAGTGAACTAACATTTGACTAATATTTCCCTGTATTTCACATGTGTTTAGGAAATACATTTTCCTCATTGGAAGAAGTGGGCAGAGATGAATGCAAGGTTTTGTTATGATGTGAGGAACTTTTTAAGGGGTGAAGGCCTTCTAAGTAATCTTGCCACCCGACTATGCGGAAGGTATGGCCCTATAGTGATTGTTTTATGCGTCAACACCCCAACAATGTATGACCTCCTGGAAATTATTTTATAGGTATGGATCTTTTTTTGTAATAAATAGAACATATTAATAATTGGAATAAAGTTCTGAAGAATTAGAGAAATTTCCTATTAATAAACCAGAAAAGAGTGAGTGTAATAAGAATAAGAAAAACTGACTAGATAATTAGAGAGAAATGGGAAGGGATTAAGGAAGGGAAGTTTCTTGATAGCTAAATACGAATCTCAAGGGAAGCATTTGGAAGGTGGAGAGGGGGAAAGGTACTGTTGGGATTTGTGGCCTTTAACGCCTGTGAGAGCATGTAAATATAATAAGCATAGTGGACTGTACAATTAAAGGGGAGTGTATAATTGGGTGACTAACCCAAGGTTAGGCAGTCTGTGGCGTAGGTCTTGTCCGAAAACCCTATTCCTTGATCATAGGCACTGCTATTGATGGTTTGTAGTGGGTCATCCCTTATTGAGGTCGAAAAGATGCCCAAGGATAGTTTGTAGGCCAGGAGAGCTTCGTGGTCTCCTGTGTGCGGTTGTAGGCCTGTGAGTGCAAGGGCTAAATCCTCAACAAAACTTCTGCACGGCATGTACATAGGATAGCCGCTTTTTTTGGGAAGCAACCCTATAGTGGGATACGTGTACATGTATGCAGAGAAAGCCCCCTTGCGCTATAGTCATTGTTCATCTGACTTGCTCTTACAGGGAGATATGTGTACATGTGTGTTGAAAAAGCCCCCTTGTACTATAATATTGTTCATCTGACTTGCTCTTACGGGGGGATCCTATAATCCACATACTGAGACAATGGTTCCATTGTTTATTGACTAACTTTGATTGGCCAATCATGAGCCCTTGCACAGTGGATCATAGATCCTGTTGGGTTGGTTTGACTTTGCTTGTTTAGGCTTTAAAGAGTGAGAAATGATGTGGCAAATCTAGTGACACCCGGTCTCATTATATATCTCTTCTTTGTAAAAGTCCTCATCATGCTAAGGAGTTTGGTACGATTATAAATAAACCCAACAACAAATATAGCTTTTTTAAATCACCCCACTAAATATAGATGTCGTACCTATTTCCTTAAGCATGAGATTAATACAATGAACTACGCAAGGAGTCCAAAACATATGCCTCCTCTTCAAAGTCAAATATGCCCAGCTGCAACATAATGGCACAATTGTCAATGACAATTTGTACCACATGTTGCTCTTCAACAAATTCTACAATCTTATCCATCAAGTCACATAGGTATATAGCATTATGTGACTTGTATGATGCATCAACAGACTTAACAAAAAAGATACTTTTTAGACAGTTAACCAAAAATTAATAAATGCCCTTGACTTTCCTTCGGACCATCCATCGCACACAATAGTTGCCCCATACTTCTCCAACCCTTCTCTTTGAGAAATTAAGATTTTTTTAACATTGGATACAACATCCTTCAATAAGGGCTCCCTAATCTCATGTAATGTAGGAGGAATAAGTCATGGGCCAAATTGCCCAATTGCCTGGACAATACATGCAAAACTATCGAGGGTTATAGTATTAAAAGGAATATTGGCCATGTAAAACCACTTTGCAATGTACTTATATACCTTCTTCCTCTCTTCTTTCTTGTATCGATTTTCAATTGTGGTTTTTTTTTTTTTCCTCCTCTCCTAAACCACGATTTCGGGGTTAGGGATGCAAAATGTATCCATTTGCCCCTTAGAGAGGTGTGTTTTTCCAACACTACCACCAATATTTATAATTCTCTCCTTTGGCCTTGGAGTTCCCCTTTGCCTCATACCAACTTCTGATATATCCTCATTATCTTCATCATTATCAAATAATTGAATTTCATCCATTAATTATTTTCGTTTCATTCTCTTATTTTCTTTTTGTTTTTTCAAGCTATCCATGTATTCTCTAATCTCCTTTTTAATCTCTTGGGTAGCTTGTGAGCATGCTCTGATATTCCCTGAAATATCGGCCGAATGTTCTTTTTATCGAAAAATACCTGCCCCATATAAGTATTTTCACAAAGAGTACAAATAACACAATTTTGGTCTTTCAGATTTTTTAGTTTTTCATATTTCCAAGCCAGATCCTTGTTACTAGAAGATTGTGAAGAAGACATTACCCCAAAAAGAAGTATTAGTGTCCTAGGAAATAAAAACTTATCAATTACTTGAAGAAAATATCGATTTATTATCGGCCCTTGAAACGCTCGATTTGTTGTTAAAACTTTACTAAACCTCCCTGAAATTAACACTCAAAATAAACCAATCAACAACCAAAGATCTTCTAAGACAAAAATCCAAGATTTTGGAAAAAAAACCCTTCCCCCCCCCTCTCCTTTTAGGGGTCAAAAAGACACGAATACCCCTTTTCGAGGGGCATTTTTTCATCTTGCACGCAGGGCGCATAGGCGCTGTATGTGGCCATGCCGTCAAGAATGAAATGTTATTGGAGCTATCCATATCTGATTCATCCTTCAGAACCATATCACATCCCTGATCTGATGAAATAGGATGAATTGAGTGCATTTGCGGTGGGATGCGCCCGCATATGATGCAAAGCATATGCGGGCACATCCCACCAAAGTGCATGTACATTGTTTAGTGATGCAGTTGCTAGTGCATCCCGCATGATGCGGCCGCATATGTGACGATGTAGCCGCATTTTAAAAAAATGGATAACATGCATTTACTTAGGTTGGTTTGTTCTGTGGAATCTATATGTCCAAAACCCGAGATTTTAGTAAGGACAGATTTCAGGACCGTGGTTTCACTATTTATTGGTCGGCTTTGGCAGGTCAATTGTGAGCGCCTGGATGAGACTGTGGGTCATGGGCTTCATTGGGTATATTTAAGAAGATAGTTGATCACAGTTATTGGGTCAGGTGGAGTGCCCTGACAGTTTCATGACCCATTGGTACTAATCCATTTTTGGGAATTTTTTTATTTTGTCTTAAAAATGTCTTATAATTTTTAGGAATGTTTTCAGAATTTTTAAAATCATTTTCAGCAGTGAAAAACCCTTAAAAGAGTGTTTTTGTAATTTCCTAGTTCCTAGGGCATTGTGGGACCCACGTGGGGAAGGTAGGGGCAAGGGCCTAGCTGCACACGTTGGGGGCCCACATGGTTGTGGGACGTGGGGCCCACATGGCCCACTTGTCCTAGCGTCTTGAGGATGCCCATGTTTTTTCATTTTTGTTAAGGATTAAGTTATCTCTTGTAATAAAGATATTTTATTAAAGAAGGAAATATTATGAAATCTTTGAAAAAGATTTAGTGTCCATATTTTGTGGGAGTGGAGAATATTATATATTTTAAACGTATTTTTGCAATTTGACCAAATCTCTTTGAGAGAGAAAAGGAAGGTCTTGTCAAAATAGAAGATATGTTCTTCATTGGTCTTATCCTAGGTTGACTAGAAGTGGAGGTGGGTCAAAGATCCAGGGGATAAGGTTCATAGATTCCTTCGTAAATCATGATGGCTGATTCATGGGGTGGATGGCTCAGATTTGTTTCTTTCTCACCTCACAAATTACCTAGGACTTCTGTGGCCAAGATGAATTCTAAACTAGATGGGCATACCTAGACCCACTTAGAGGCTAGAAATGGAGTGTAGCCACCCTCGTTCTTAATCATCTGAAATTTTTTACTCTCTCTCTCTCTCTCTCTCTCTCTACACCTCTATCTCTTTGTCTTTCTCTCTCCTCTCTAGCCCAAAAAGTGTGGCATGCACCAACCTAAGGACCTTGCGATTACATAGAGGGGTACCTAGCCCGTATCGACCCAAGGGAGGTACCACCAATGGCATGCTCTAGAAAGGTCAAAAAGGGGTCTAAGAAACACTAATTTGTTTTATGCTCTTAAACCCTAGATTTGAGAAAGGTATTGCTTAAAAGAGCTTCCCGACACAGAGAATTCACTAGGGCCAATAGGATTAGAGTGTGCCATCGGTTGGGTAACGGGGTCTGGGGTGAACCAATTCTTAAGGGAGTGACCCTAGACAAAGTCAAGTAAGTCTGTTCTAAGTTTATTTTCAGTGATTATTACTCAATTTGTTGCAATTTCGAGGGGCATTATTTATATTAGAATTTATAGTGAATGCTTGTATTCAGTCCTGGATTGAGTTATATTCATTTGCAATAAAATAAAAAGATCCTAGGTTGTATTTTGGCTTTTATTTTTTTCTTTATAGCTTTGTTTGGTGGCACTTTTTAGTGGAATTCAGATATATTAATAAAAGAAAAGATAACTTTTTTTATTTATTCCCTTTGAATTTCTCATTGCGACTTCTTTCAAGAGGCACATCCTAGGGAGAGAGAGTGTGCTCCATGGTAAACACCATGGTCATGCTAGCTTAGACCCTTGCCCCATACTTCCACCATGGTCCTTTGCATTCACCTTGGAGCTCCATGCCAACTTCAGGGCTTCATCATCTTGCTGTAACCTGCTTCTAAACCACCATTTACAGCAAGGCATTGTCTCTTCTATGGTGCTTTTTGGTTCAGTAATTCATGGCTTCTTTATGCATTCATAGGCCCCTACCATGCTTCATTGCTTTGGACCAAAACTAGTCCAAATTTCAACCCTGTACCTGTAAATCAGTCCCGAAAGTGACCCTTTAGTATGTATTTGAAGTTGGTTTTGCAATTCTCACCATTAGAGTGTGATAGGTCTCAGATCCCATGTGCTATCGAAGTGGTAATCTACTCCAGGTGTATTAAGTCCCATGGAGGTGATCCCAGGCATATTGTTTGAGTTTTAGCTCCCCTTAGCTTGTGTCTTTCATGCACACATTTGTGAAAGTCTTTGTAATGTTTGAGATTGCTTTTGAGTCGTAATTGTACAAGAAAGTGTTTGACGTAATTCTATTAGAAATTGTATGTAGCTGAATTTTACTCAGTGTAAATTGTTTTGTATGTATGCAATATCATTGTGTCCAAATGAATGGAAATGATGTTGGGGATGTCATGTGGTGTTTTTGATCCTTGTTTCTTGCTGTAATTGAGTTGTAAGAGTGATTCTATCAGTGAGAGTTTTGCTTTACTTTGAGGAAAAGTGTATGCAATTTCACGTTTACTAGTCTCATTGTAAAATTTAAAAGAGTTGTACACTAAGAGACTGGTATCTTTGTGAACATTTGGATGCATGTATAAGTTTTTCCGATTCAGCAGTCTTGTATGAATCACTTTCTTATATGCTGTTTGATGCCGCACTTTTCGCTGGCAATAGCTAAGTAGCACACTAAAATGGACATATCTGAGAATGATCATTTCTTCAGAAAGGTGTTTTGCTTCTGTCATGGATAGCCAGGTCAGTGTGGCTTTTATCTGTGCAGAACATCAGGTCCTTGATAAATTATGGACCTGCAAAATTATATTCTTGACATTCTTCTCTGCAGCCAACATTTTCCTCCAGTGTTTCTGCTGTTAATGCGTCTTGCTAATTCAAACTTAGTGTTTAACCTTTTCTACCTCAAACAACTTTCTGAGCAAAGGCTTTGATGTGATGTGGCATAATGGCAGTGGGGATATCTTTTCGGATGGTAGAGGACCCAGCTTTTCTTTTAATTATATTGCAAGGAACTTCGGCTTGCCTCTTGTAGACTTAGTTAGTTTCAGGTATTGAGTCTACTAACTTGAAGTTTGGTATTTTTTTTCTTTTTCTTTCTTGGATATCTACAAAGTTATAAGTTATCTCTAGCTGATTGTTTGAGAAGAATGATTTTGTGTGGATGCTGATTATTTTCTTTCGAAATTTTTTGTGTGGGTACTGCGTTGCATTAGATAGTAGTTCTTTTCTCTTGTTAATTCTAGTTCTGACAACATTTCAATTTATATTTCTGGCAGTGGCAGTGAGCTCAGTGCTGAATTGAGGTAAAGGCATGATCTTGTTAATTTTTATAAGGAAGCTCACTTGCTTTTCATTTCAAGTGCATTTGTGTGTTTCTTCATATACATAACATTGCTGACTTCCAATGGTCAAGAGTATGGATAATGCACTACTAGTAAATGGTCTTAGTGCTCTCTCTGATCATTTGCTTTTTTAGATTGATGAGGAATCTTGCTTCTTTGTAATTATTAAATCAGTAAATGAAATATTTATTGAAGAAAAGAAGAATGTAGAAAAGAGGAGAACAACTGAAAATGTGACAGAATGTGAGGGCAGCATCTGAAGGAACAATGCACTCCAGTTTTTAAAAACTCGATCATTCCGACCCAGTCTTGGCCGAGCCATCCAGAATTGGCAGGATGCCTTTTGCAAATGCCCTTGCCAGTTCAGCGTGACCCATGGCTCTCTGCCCGCTGAAAAAATGCCTGAACTTGCCGAAATTTTGAAGACTTGCCTAATCTAATCCAAGTTGGGACGAGTATGCCTGAGCCTGTCTTAAGTGGTGAAAAAACGAGCAAATATTCTTAATAGTAATACGGGTTTACTAAGAGAAGGATTTCTGTCCAGCCTACTCGAGACGTGGGGAGTGCACTGTTCCTGGGGTCTGGCTATTCCCCAGAGTGAATCTGGGTCTCCATACATCGATATTATCTACTACATCTATCATAAGGGTATTGTGAGAGACACCCAGTTGGTAGATTATCTGCGTGCCTATTGGCACCCGTGAGGATGTGTAGATAAACATCCTTGGAGTTACAGATGTCAAAGAATCTCCTAAGAATCACAACCAAACACCAGGAATAATGGTCCCCTTAGGGCCCTTCTAATAGCATTAGACAATCACCCTTTGCGTATAGCAAGAAGACCTATGATAAGGAACCAGTTTCATTATTAAAATGATTTTGAAATACCATGGTCCAGGCATGTTATGCAATTATAATGCAGATCTTCAGCTGGAATCCTTGTCTGTTTGTGCCAGCTGTGTTAATTTTGATCTTCCTACTTATTTGATCTCCCTTGTAAGTTTCAGGTTGTACCTATTCCGATTAAAATGTGACCCACTGAAGATTAGATTGTTGACACTTTTCTGAATTATTATCCAATATAGACTATCTTGTTAGCTCCTCTGAATGTAGCATTCTTGTTATAATCTATATAGACTTTTTTGAATTATATCATCTGTTAATTTATATCTCAGTTGGAACTGTGGAGAAGAAGGTCCTACAAGTACACCTGTGGTTCTGGAAAGTCGACTGAAACAGGTACAAAAGCTCATTTACCTATGTTCAGTGAAGCATTTATGTTTGTACAGTGTATGTGGAAGATCAATTTTTTATGTACCTGCTGTTAACCTTGCTAAGAAATTGTGGCAGATTCGCAACTTCCTTTTCATATTGTACATATCTTTAGGTGTACCCGTTCTCAACATGGGGGATGAATATGGCCAGTCAACAGGAGGTTCAACACTCTACAGTAACAGGTTTTTTCTTCACATCATGCACTTTCATTATCAACTTCCTTAATCAACATCACGTGGAATGAGACTTGACATATGTGATGTGTTTCAATTGTATTACTTCTAGCACAAGATAGAGGTGCTTTGAGTATTACACAGTTTGGTGATCTAACTAATCATATACAAGTTGATTTATAAAGAGGTTGTCTTTTTCCGTTATTTTTTCATTGTTCAGCAGTAGGATTTTTATGTTACGGAACCTGAATGCTTAATCACTTCACCATTTCACTTTTTGCTTAATGTTGCTTGCTCACTGGACACATATGGTACAAGAATTTTATCGTTGTCCATGCATGAGCCTCAATAGATGCAGCATTTCTGCTACAAACTCATCTTGGCCTCTCTAATGGATCAAAATTGCATTGGATCTAATTGGGCAATCTCCTAGTTATATTTGGTACAGGTTTTCTTGGAAATGGAAACTGTTGAAGATATTAGGGCTACAGATCCATTCAAAACATCCATAGGAAATAGTAATTTCTAATAATCTAAAAAGAAAATACTCCTTGATAAAATGAAGTAACAAAGGCCTACGACAATAAAGAAAGAATAAAATAAAGAACAAATAGTACTATTGGACAATACTTCCCTTCGGTATAATATGTGCGCATTATGCGCTAACTACCCACTTCAAATTTAAAGCTTGATATTCCATCTGGATGCACAGCATTGACTCTTGTTGGGCTATCCTTGGCCTGAGTGAGGGACATGATAATCCAAGAGCGACTGAAGTTCTTGCAGGCCACTGTGGTTGGTAATTTGATCCTCCATGACTGAACCTGAAGAGAATGGCAACTTGGGCCACAAAACAATGGAATACTTCTAGACAGGTCTCCTGCAAATTTGGGGAACAACTTTGTGCTCTTCTCTCTACCATCCCCCGAGGAAGCTCTAAGAGTGCTCGACCTTTCAAATGGCTTTGGATTTAAAGGAGCTCTCTTATAATTTCAGTCATGCTCCTATCATGGCATGAAGATTTTTAACTGGCTTATACCAGTTACCAAAAATAGTAAAATCATGCAACACTTCCTCAAAATTGGTCAAACTTTGCGCCCTTGGATCGCATGATCCGCACGTTTGGTTGAGCTGAAATTTGGATACATCATGCTCCTTGATGAGCACGTTCTTTTGGTATAGGCCTTGCGCGTGACCGTCGGTTGGATGGAAAGAAATTTTAGAGAGAAGTCCGCAAGTTTTGAAGCTCATGCAAAAAACCAGTTTGCATAACCTCTTCACATTTTTTCGCCCATAACTTGACTTCAAATAGTCAACTTGAGCTCAAATTTAGTGCATTTTGATTGTGATTCGAATACCTTCGAAATGACGTAAGAAAAATCATGATCAGGGTTCAGATCGATGGCCATCTGAGGCTCGCCAATGGGCACAAGGTTAGGTGTAGCAGAATTTTCGATATCCGGCAACTTGCCAAAGCCATAACTTTGTCGATCAAAGATTTTTTCTCGCACTTCTTGGTGCAAAATGATATGACAAGGTCCCCTTCGATTTGCCATCCCAATAAACCCGGCATTCCCGGAGCAATTGATTGAAGAGTATTAAAGAATATTTGTATGAAAACCATAAAACCCAAAGCCACCAAAGCTCCACCAAATCCTCATGGTTCCTTGCAAATCATATATACAAATTTGTCGGTGATTGTTTGCCCATTCTGATGCCAGAGAAGCCCAAAACGTGGCCCCACACCATGTAGTTTGGAAGCGGCCCTCTTTGAGGGACTTAATCATCAATTTTGGACATTGTTCATGTCCCCTCTTTTGTCAATTTTTCATTTACCCGAAAGTTTTTTATATTTTTCATCTTTTTTATTTTTACCCAAATTCTCCAAGGTTTTGAAGAGCCACCCTTGTTTAAGGGGGAGCTTTATATAAACCCCATCACTCATGTAATTAAAGAGGACTCTTTTTGCTTCGCGATTGATGAAATTCTATCACCTTGAAAAAGGAGAGAAATTTTATGTGCAAAAGAGTTCTTGCACTTGCCTTAAAACTAACCCTAGGTTAACCATCCCCTAGTTAGCTTAACCTAACCCTAACCTACCTTGGTTAAGTCTCTACACTTAACCAAGGGTTATCCAAACCCTAACCCTAATCTAACTACACCCTCATAACCCAACTACACTTTCATAACCTAACCAGGCCCTCATAACCTAACGACTCCCCACACCTTACCATACACCCTACTCCACCCCATAGTCTACCATACACCATACTCCACCCCATAGCCTACCATACACCATACCCCATAGCTTATCATACTCCATGCGCTAGCCTAACCCACTTGGCTTAGGTGAAACCCTCAAGGAGGCTCTTTCAAGGCGGTGTCTATTCGGGTCGGACCCATAGATCCCTGCCAACATATTCCTCTGGGGTACTCCAGCTAATCGCCGAGCACCTTAACTCTTGTCGTCCATACCCCCTATAGGGGAGGTGCTACTGGAATTCTGTCGGATTCCGGTTAACCCTTTTCATCCTTATTCGCCTACACCAAATCATACCATCTAATCTTAGTCGACCCACTTATTCAACCCCCTAATCCACCCTAACCTACTCGACCCCCTCTCAACCCATTTGACCTCTCCCATCTAGCCCAACGCACTTGACTAACCTACACGCCTAAAACCTATCCAACCCACTCGAACCTAGCCAACTTGAACCAACTAGGACCTACCCTAGTCCACATTAACTCATATGACCCCAACCGACAAAACCAACCCAACTGACCAAACCAACCAACGGACTCAAACCAACTCAACCCAGACCTAGCCCATACCTAGGTTTATCATGAGCCAAACCCCAATGACTACATGGGTCCATCAACAATCACAAGTGCATGACCCGTAGACCCCAGTAGGGCAAGACGTGCAAGGGAGTGGAATCAAAACACATCCCAAGCTTACGGGTCACGATGGCAGGTCCCCTCCTGTTGTGGTGCTTGGCTTAAGGCTCGCCCGGGGAGAACTAGGGGTGCTTGGCTCACAAGGCTCACCCCGGGGTGCTTGACTCACAAGGCTCACCCTCTTGGGAGAATCTCTGCGACTCATACACCCCCGTGCCCTGTTGGCTGACAGATGTCAGAAGGCTTTCCACGGCGATAATAAGCTGGGATCTAAGAGGACCACCGCCCGGATGCATCCTGAACTCAACCAATCTTTGAGGTAATTCTTGCCCTGCAACTTTTAATTTGTTGGTTTGCCATCGCACCACACTCACACTGCACGACCTTGGGGTCATATCACACCACACACGGGATCAAGCGCAGGGCTCGGGATAGGATCCGACGTGGGGGCCGGCCGACCAGTGGTGTACCACTTCATGTGTAAGGTGTGGACCCCATGGGCTCCATGCCCCACTCGTGGGTGTGCACACGTGCGAGGTGGATCCCAGGACCCCCACGTGTTCCACTTCACTCCTCAGTTCCAGAATTTTGAAACGCCCTTTTAATTCTGAAAAATTTCTAAAATTCACAAAAATATTTATTAACTGAGAATAAAATATTTAGAAGTGGACTGGTACCAATGGGTCGCGAAAAAGTGACTATTAGGGTACTCCACTCAACCCAATAACCGTGATCCTCGTTTATTTTTTCAAACCAGCCCAATGAGTCCCACAACTCACAGTCTTATGCAGGGGCTCATGATTAGCTTGTTAAAATTGGCAAATAAATAGTGGAACCACAGTCCCAGAATGTAGATTACAGGTTCCCCCCTCAATAGCAAGTAAGACACACATATCATTATAGTGCAAGGAGGACTCTCTCTATGCATATATACATGTATCCCTTTTTAGTGTTGCTTCCCGATAATGCAGTTGTCTTGTGTACATGCCGTGAGAAAGTTTGTTAAGGATTTAGCCCTCACTCCTACAGGCGTACATCTGCACACAAGAGACCACCAAGTTCTTCTAGCCTACAAGCCATCCCTAGGCATCTCTGCAACCTTAACAAGGGATGACCTTTTGAAAAACCTTTTTTTGGTAGTGCCATATGACCAAGGGTAAGGGTTTTGGACGGGATTAGGGCCCTAAATCAATCAATCAACACAAAAAGTTCCACTGAAGTGCGTTCAGTTTTTGTGACCATTTAAAGGCCTTACAAGAGCATGTAAAACTATGACTACAGTGATATGATAAGTCCAGTGGGACTATGGTCCAGAGAGACCAAAGGATTATGGTCCAAAGGGACCGAAGTTAGCAATTACGATGCTGAAACTCAAACTAGGCTTGACGAGCTAGGTCAGTTGAGTTCTAAAACCCTAAGATACCTGGAAATACAGCAAAACCGAGAAGGATTAGCAAGGTTACCCCTTGGTGAGGTTGGAAATGCTCAAGGTAGTTTGCTAAGGTATTGTATGACCCTTGTGTGTCCTCATCAGATACCCTCACGGCATGTACACTTGATAATCGTATCAGAAAGCAAGCACTATTAAGGGTGTTGTATGTACATGTGCGAGAGATAGCCCCCACGCACCAAACTGCGATGTGTGTGCGTAGGTCTGTGTGACCTAGGCTTGCCCCTAGGGAGAACCTATAATCCACAGTTTAGGATTATGTCCCCTCACTTATTGGCTGACTTTGGTAGCCCAATCATGAATCCCTATGATGGACTATGGGTCATGTGAATTACTACGCCAGTTTGAGAAAGTGAGTGTGGTTCATGGTCTCTAGTGGAAGATGGATAATATCGGTATTTTCACATTTTCCCTAATATAGTTGGATCCGAATCCCATCAAATTAATTTAGAAATAATTAATTTGACTATGAATGATTTTTAGATTGATAAAACAAATTTTTCAAAGTCTCTGGATATTTTATTTTCGCTAAACAGATTTATAAATAGACTTAAACTGAATTTTCAGTATCTTATTCAGAGAAAAAATAAATAGTAAATATTTTCTAAAAAACATATTATTATTAAAATAACTAAGGCACATGGGGGCCCATTATTCTCCA